ATCTCCGGAACTAATAGAGCTATCGACTCGTACAAACGCTCATTTTAAAGGGCGTTTCATCCCCTATCCGATGACTATACTAACTACTATAATTTATGCTATCTTCTATGTTTATTTTGAGATTTACTGTGACGTTACACACCAAACTTGTTCAATCGTAAAAAATGCGTAAAAATATCGTTTGTTTTGTACCTATAAAGGTCCAGCATCTCAAGTTTCGATCGCGCGGAGCAATTCCCGCATACTAATCGTGGAAGGCAGCGCCGTATGCTCTGTTTATACGTTTCAGCAAGGCCAAACTTGTTTTACACATTTCTGGAACGTCGTGGCGCTTAACGGGTGCTGGTATCGTAGATCCAAAGCTGGCAGAATCACCGGCCGGCAGGCTTAATCGGACATCTCTGTTAATTGCACGCGATCGAAAATGGTAACGAACCGAATCCTCCGACAAGAACGCGCGTAGGCCGTGCACGTAATAACTCTATCTCTCACGCGATTCATTGATGGGAACAGAATCATGCATAGTCGTAAGCGCCGGGCGATGTCCCACATTCTAACGAGAAAAACGAACAACCACGGGGTCGCCCATTTATCACGCTTACTTTTAGTTTCAAGTGCACGATAACGGTTCTGATTAACGATCGCGCATCGAACACGAAAGACTTTACGCTGGGACGCGAGTATCTTCCAGCGTTTCTTTCCGCGACTTCCGACGGCAGAATTAATAGTTTCGAACCGTATTGGTAGCGTGAGAATATCGCGAGGAAAGTTTAAATCGTCATAGCCGGCAAATGAATTTAAAACATCGCCACAGGATATCCGCAAAAGTACTCGAAACGGACAACCAACTATTTTATGTATTTATCGAACCCATTTGTACGACCCGATTTTCTGTAATACCTTACTAATTCCAAGTTACTTTGGCAATTTTGAATAATCAGTCTCGCGTGTTTCCTTTTCTGCTCGATGAGCGAAAATTAATTCTGGACGCGAATAGGAAAATACCAAAAGCGAGAAAGAAGCGGCTCGTTCTCAAGTGGGAGCACAATTTGAAAGAGTAATTACTCTGGAATTATAAAGACCTCGCCGGCAGGTTTTAATCGTGGTTTTAATTACTTCATCCACCATGCTGCGCGAGTCTGTTTTGCCTGTTTTTGCTGTCCTCGGAATTGTGATTTGACGCGTTGTTCATCTCGAACTTTTATAGACTATGTGGTCGAGTCGAATTTGCTAAACATCGTACGGCGCATTAATACGTTTAAACGTTACTACATTAATTGCTTTCGTTTCTATATTTACGATTCTAACATGCAAGAGAGACTAGTATAATACATCCGTCTTCGTGAGACCAAATAATTAACGAAACGCAATTTTTCAGGCCACGAATAATTTCAGGAATTAATGCATCATTAATTTAATTTATACATCCTTATTTGCGACACCATGGTTAATTTCACCAGCTCTGTATCGAGAGTCAGAGCACAGTTACAAAACGTCGAACACGTCAACGCGTCAAAGTAAAAATAAAAATCGCTGGTTTATTGCTTCGTAAAACGTCGCGATCGGGGTAAAATGGCATCGAATGCACGTAAAGGAGGACGCGGGTACACGCATAAAATGGATAGTCAATTTGACGCACTCCATCCAATTACTCGAATCCCCTCGATTACCAAGCGCGATTTTTAACCACGTGGAAGGATTCAATTTACGATCCGTGGATCTCCACCCTGGTGGATGTCGGCTCCCAAGGCTAATAGAAGCGTGCATCTCATCTCGTGATCAGAGTTGCTTGATTAGCGGTGTCTTTACAACGGAACATCCGCGAGAATCGCTACTTACGGCGAGGCGCGCACGGTCGCCCCTTTGATTGCGAAAGGTCAATCGTAATGTCAACGATTTACTCTCACCACGGTCGGATTAAACGGTTACACGCAAACCGAGAGGTAAGATTTTCTAAGGGGGGAGGGAAGTTTATTCGCGATTTGCATGCTAACGAACAACCGCCGGCCAACCTCAGCCCGGAAATTTAACTTCTCTCCCCTCGTTAGATTTCATTATCGACAACGCGCGCGCTGACTTCGAGCATCGACACATTGACGCACTGCCGTAATCTCGGGGGGCCAAACACCTGGCGATTTGTCGTTGGCGAACGTTTAACGGTAAGGAGCTAGTAGCCATAAGCGCCTCGGATTACGAAGTGATAATGGACGAAAGAAGTTAAGAACATGGTTAAAGCAACGACTCGAGTCTTCAACTACGACTGGCTGAATAAATTCAATACCATTTGTAACCCTTAAATGGATTATTACCCCTCCACGAGTTTAAACTAATAATTATTTGAAATGTAATCCTTTATTCATTATTTTTTAAACGTTATGTAAAATGATTCAGTCGAGACTGAGAGTCCGCTTAAACGTTTCTTCGATGGATTGCGTAACGGCAAGAAAAGAATTTTCTGCCCATTGGAAAACCCATTAACGCATTGTTTATCGCGGTGCTTGGGCCGGGTATTATATGGACTGCGAGGACCGTGGAATGATAAACAATGATTAAGCGCATAATAACTGTCAGAGGAAGAGGCCTCGTCGAGATCAAGGAAGTGACTAGCACGCACGTGAACTCGCGTCAAGTGTCCGGTGCATTTGATGCACGCGTGCATTTTGTGCCAGGGGAGCAACGTAGCTCCTTTAGATTCTAAAGCCCTGTCCACACACAGCCACAGCGGGGGCTTTGTTTGCGCCAGGTATCCCTCCCCATTCACCGACGAATTCGCCACTTAAAATAACAGCAACGTAGCGCTTTGATATTGAAAATAAACACCGCGAGGAAACCGAACAAGAATTCCCTACGCCCCTCGCATAAATTCCTTTCCTTCTCGCCTCTGCTACTCTATTCGCTCAAACGTTTCGCGGTGCTCAGTCTTCTGAATTTTCTGTCGATTCGTGAAAGCAATTTAGAATTTTATAATTCTGCTAGATATAATTAAAATAAGACAAATAAATAACACTATGTAAACAATGTAAAAATAAACTCTATTCGCTTAAACGTTTCGTTGTATTGAGTTTCCTGAATTTTCAGTCAAACGAAGAAAAACTGAAAATGAAAGCAATTTAGTGATCATATTCTGTGTATTGCACGATTGAATATTGATATTCTCGAGCTTAATAAATTTTAGGTTCTGGGGCTGGAGCGCGTCCCCGTGCTTTTGATAGAATATTTATGACGTGCGCCGTCGCGCGTGTTGATCTTATCAGAGTAGTGTGAAGCGTCTTTAAGAGAGGCAGAGATAGATAGAAAGGCGGAGAAGAAGTTGGAGTTAATGCAAGCCGGGTCACGACGGCCGACCGGGATCACAAGTTCGTCGTCGTCGCCGTCTTCGTGGTTGCATTAACATTGCTGGCACCGTCATGGTTCACCGTGAAGACATTATCGAGCCGGAGGCTATTACTTTCGGTGTCGTTTATTCTCGTATTGTTTCCCGTGGAAGCCTCCGCTGCGTCTTCAGGCCTTAATAATTCCTTTTCCACTCGAAATTTAATTATCGATATTAATCAAAATACGACCGAGGTAATTTTGTAATTTTTAAAGTAAATCGAATTAAATTTACAGATCGAGATTTCATTGAATATTCTCAGTAAATACACTGAAATATTTCCGTTAGAGGAACAGTTGGCCGAAAGAACGGTTCGCTGTTGCTTCGAGCTTTTATTTTTTTTCTTTCGAACCGCGAAGAAACTAGAAACCAGTTCCTTTGCATCCAGTCGAATGCACCATCGCCGCGGTAAACTGATACAGATTTATCTCGACCGATGCTCCTACTATTATTCGTATTACCTGGCTGACGCTCGGTCTGATAACGAGGTAATTGGCGACTGCTTGGCGCTGAAGATTAGAATCGTCACTCGAGGTGGAACGTCCCTTGAAATTCGCGAAACCTTGTTCCACTTTAGACAATGCCTACGATAGCCAACGACCAGGGTTACCACACCGGGCTGGAATTTATATTGAAATCGAGTTCGTACCGTGCGATGTATCAGGCGACCAGGGAGACGTGATGGTTTTCACCGTGAAACGAGAACCGTCGATCGAAAGTCAAAGTGAGATTTCTACGCCGTTGGAAATCGATCTCACCGCGGTTGCGTGTCGACACGTTCGACCACGGGTTAGCAGCTCTTATCAGCACGGACTAGCCTGATAACGAAGTAACGAACACCTGGCAAGTGGCACGGACAGATCAAACGGACTGATAATTGGCCAATTGTTGACGATTGTTGGGCCCGAACAGAGAGATTTATCGCGCTGATAACGAAATAATTGACAACCCGTGGGTCCTACTGGCAGAGTTACGGTAGCCTGGCGAGGCGCATAATACGACCAAGGGGAAGGTATACAGATTCTTCCTACCGGATAACGCATCTGCATGCCGGATTAAGGCCGAGGCAGACTCCAGGAACCGCGGACGAAACGTTCTGTGAGGTCGAAACCAGTTTCAGCGTATCCGTTTAGACGGATCTAGTCGCACAACAGCATAATGCAGATTCATCTCGGCGTATATTCTTACCTACCCCCCTCTCCCCGTCCCTCCCGTACCTGGTCTGATAACAACGTAATTGACAAGTGGTTAGATCGTACAATTACGCGTCATTACACACGATTTCTTACAGATACGCGAAAATGATCTGGTAAATCGACTCCAATGAAATTTCTTCATCCTTCTTCCTTTTTTCATCGACGCCGTTTTATCATTTTCTTTACTACAGTTTCCAACGATTATACCAAACTCAAAATAGATAAGATTTTAATAGAGGAATGCGATATAAAACTGATTTAAAAAAGTGTATTTATGTTTTATATTATGCTTCATTCCATTTAAGGTGAATTGTTATCGTCATTGTATGATATAAACGCTTAGGTTGATATTTCTATCAACGACGCTTATCTTCAGAGCTATATATAGCGCACTGGCTTACAAGTTTCAAATGAAGTATTGCAAAGACAATGTCAGGATGGCCGAGCGGTCTAAGGCGCCAGACTCAAGGTTTACCTCTCTGAGGGCGTGGGTTCGAATCCCACTTCTGACAAACTTTTTTTACATTTTTACATTCGTATTATACTTTTTTCAAAATAAATTACCTGTCATTTCTCTTGAAAAACTACACACGGAACGCAAACTGCTTTGTTCCTAGGTTCGAATCCCACTTCCGACAAACTTTTTTTTTCTCCTTTTTTTTTTAATTTTTCATTAATGATAAAATCCTACATTATGTTTTCACTGAACGTAAACTATTAATTCCCCAAATAATATTCATCGAACTCGAATGATCTGAACCTTCGAGTTGTTGGATTCTTCTTTCGAATTCGGGATCAAATAATTGTCGCAATATTTGACTCAGCTTATCGTCTTTATCGTCGCGAAACCAGACAAGAATTATCACTGACCATGGTAAACGTGACGTTTGACTGATAAATATAGGAGCTACGCTTAGCTCGTGCGAATTTCCATTCAAAACGACAGGATTTCCTCGCGATAAGCGTGGGTTTCGAGCATGTCACCTTGCTCGAAGGTAAAGTGGACTACAGCGATGGAAAGCTACGTTCCCTCCGCGAAACCCGTTAAAGGAAAGGAAGAAGAAGAAAACGTTTCATTAAGTTATTCATTTTGCGTATTCCCCGTCTACTTTCGCTGGAACAGCCAAGACTGGTTTGCCAGACAATTTTCTAGAGTCCCTGCTCTATAAGGCGAAATATACATCCGTAAAACAATTTTCTATATCGCAGGATTGGACAACGCGAGGTTGGGAAGCACTGTTCCTAGCCCAATGGAACTCGTTTTCCTTCCAAGACAGTTCCAACAGTACGCGTTTCGCGAAATTAATCGTCGAATCTGTATTTATTTTTGCCGTTTTCACACCTCTCCCGTTCCAAGTTTCGATCTGTTAGCCGCACGTAACACGGCGGATCGAGTCATTAAGGCTTTTCGAAACGATACTCAGGGACGAGCGCGAACCGGTGTACGTTTCCTCGGTATTCCACGATGCTACCCCTGATTCAAGCGTAAAGTAATTTATCGCGGGTTCTAAGAGGCCGCCGATTTACAACCAAAAAGAGAATCGACGTCAGAAGCTGCCAGCAGCCTCGCCATTATCTCGCAAACGCTATAAGACTGGCGCACCGGAGCCCCGCAGGATTTCCGGCCTGATAAGTGGGCATCATCTGTGAAAATGATCCTGCTTTAAATATACATTCTTCTGCGCCCCGTAATGCGCGACGATGCATTTAGAAACTCTAAAACGACTGTTGGGACGAACGATCGCTCGGACACTTTACATCGAACCATTTCGTGATAAATATAATCTAAACGAGCACGGTTCATTTTTAACGAACGTTTTTATCCTTAATTTGTATCCTGTTTGTCTCGTATCGATATATGTATCAGTAATTAAATTTGACAGAAATTACTCCGAGGGATTCGACGTCTTCCAGTTTATGAACGTTGACGAAAAAATGGCTTCGCGTCGGGAATACCTTTTGTCCGTGCGACCAAGGCGCGGCTCGTTTCCTTTCTGTATGAATAATTCCCCGAAGACACGCGGAAAGAGCGGAATGTATCATTGTCATACCGTACGAGCTTTTAAAAGAAGTACGACGAGTTTAAAATGAAGTTTCGCAGCCACGGAAGTGCGCTCTAACATTCAATTAACTGTCGACAGGATACGAAGTACCTCGTGACAAATACACGATTTCAACCCACGATATATCGCGATCGATACACCATGAATTTTTCCACGGAATTTTCGACACGAATGGATAGAAATATAGAATTGAATCGCTATATTTTATAGAGTTTGTTCACCTCGCGCCATGGACAGCTAGAGTCGACGTAGAACGCATAACATCTTTGCATACGCTGCATGGCTGCATTCTAGTTGCAGCCCGAAGCTGAAGATTCGCTCATCCGTTTGATCGCGAAGAACGGAGATCTCGACATTCCACGTCGGTCACGGTGCAGGGAAATATTTTTTTTCCACGCTTCCTCGCGGTGTAAATTTACGCAAAAGCGTTCCGCGTACACTTTCACGGATCCCGAACGAATCGAGTGAATTAAACAGCCGCGGGTGAAATCCCAACGTTATGATTGAAACGACGATCTCGTGGATTATCGGTATATACACACGGTTCGTTCGAGCAAACAGATCTGTCTTTAAAGGAAGTCAATTTCTGAAGAAATTATTTTATTTACTAACAAAATATAAAATATTACGGAGATCCACGATTTCTTGTAACCGTAGAATTCACCCTGAGAATCTCTCGTGGGATGTTTTGCCCCAGCAATTTGTAACTCGTTCGTATCGCGTCGTGTTTCATTCTCCGACCTTTGCACGACCGTTCCCGGTCACAAATGTCAAGAGACACGAAAATGCTAACGAAGTTGACGCGGTTCGAAAGATCGTGGAACACGCTTTTCCCATATAAAGCACGCGGAGAAATCTGGGCCGCAGCGGCGTAAAATAACACCGCTTCGCGGAGACAAACGTGAAATACGTGTCAAGTTAATTGGATAAAAGTACAACGCGACTTTGCCGCATCGAGTATCGACGTGGTCGGACACGGTTTTTCCGCGAACGACGATTTCTCTAGATCGTGTAGCTACCGATGGAAGATTGATAACATGATTACGTCCACTGTTCTCTCCTTTGAAAAGGTCTCTGCACGTCATACGTCTACCTCTAAATTCTCGATTTAAGCAAAACTTACTTTCATACACGTGTTTAAAATTGTTAGTTGAAATTTTTAAATACAAAATTTGTAATTACTCTGTCTGCACCACTATATACAGTACATAGTTTAAAATTTTGCCCTTCTATGCTTGGCCAATAATTCTAGTATTTTGAATAAAGTTAACGAACAAGGATAACATTAATTTCGTGTCAATCTTTTTGTCCCTGCAGTATGGACGGGAGAAGATCTACGTGGCTCGTTGCAGAGGTCGGGATCAAATTGTCCACCGCGCAAAAAGGCGTTCGTTTTATCGAACGCTTTTTACCGTTACACTTTCACGGCTAATTATCGCGCTTGTAATACCGCCGTGCGTCGCGACGTTGTTTTTCGCGACGGCGCGTCTCACTTTCGCCTTGGGAATCGTCACCGGGCGAACGTTGCAAATAAATTGCAATCAGAGCGATCCATTCGCGAAAACCAGTCCGTCATGATGTATAGGCAAAAATAAGGAGATATTGAATCCGTCCCTGGTCGCGCTGGGACTTGTTTTCAATTATCATCTTATGGTATCGAGCGACTTTTACGAGGAATTAAGTTTCATCGCATGATTCTCATAAATGCATATCCTAGTCCACGTCACCGATACAGAAGCTTGTGAAATACGATATCGATTTTTGGATCGTATAACCATTTAATTAGAACGTTTTCACCGCGTCGATGACGATCTTATTCAGATCGTTTAACCGTGCATAGAATAACGAATTCCTACAAGTTGCTCACGCTTTCGTCGCTAGATCGGTTCCCTGAGGATTTACGAGCCACCCCCGTAAGATCCGACCGAACTTTTTCGAACCAACGATTCGTGGGTCGTAAAATAGTCTCGTAGAGCCTCTCTAATCCTCTTGGTGTTCATAATGACGCGCGTGTCTTCGATGCGAGCATTCCGGACGCCTAGACGGGCCCGATTTAATGACGCTCGTATAATAAGCTAGAGATATGGCGCGCCAACTGGCACCTCGTCTGCTCCCACGCCATTGTCGGAGTTGTGGGTGGCTTCGGGACACTCTAGTGCTCTTAATTCGACCGGTTTTATCAGACACCCGTGTTGGTTGACAAGGTCCCCGTGGACATTTCCGAGATTCCTCTTTCCCATCGATAACCGAGGAAGAGGCCCCATAAGATAGCCTCGTTATTACTATGTATTAATACAAATGTATACCGAGCGTATTCTAAAACGTGGGATCTGTTTCAACGGGCGATCGAAGATACAAAAACAATGAAACGAGCTCGTACGAACTATGTGCCGCGTCTGACCCCGTTCTCGTGTCATAATAGACATTTTTTCTACTCTGATAATTCGTTAGGAACTAAGCTAGTGTAACTGAGTCCACTAAACTGTTTCTGTACAATATTAAATAACTCATTTCAGTATTACAAAAATATCGCGTATGTTTATCTGCGTTGAACAGAGAGAAACAACACTATAGGGAAGATGAAAACCACGAGGCTTTCGATTTGTTTTGTAAAGAAATAAAATTGGTTTTACTTTGTTTAAAAAGAAGGTGGCGGGCGGTGGGGTTGATTACTGGGGTTGGTTACAAGAGGTAGCTGGATTTGGAGCTGTCTGTGATGGAAGATCCTTTCCCAGGCGTGTCGAAGCCTTTTGACGAGTCCTTTCCTGTCCTTAGATGTTGATGTTTACACTAAGACGGATACGTAGCGAAAGAGAGACGCTCAACGCGAGGTTTCGCGAGACCGGTCGCGCCCCACCACCAAACCACGCGTTTTCACGCACGACTTATTACAATATTTCTCGTATCCGTCATAATTTCTTGACAAAGTATTTTTCGATGCTTTCTTACACGACACGTCAATCTCCTCTTTAAACGTCGGCCATAAAAATCATTCGTTTTAGTCATAGCCACATGTAAGTCACAGAATGAATGGGCTTTGGAGTCGACGTAGGAAGTAGAACAAACGTGAAGGATGCTTGTCAACATCTGTCCGCGATATAATAAGAAATCAGCGGGGAGTGGTCGAACGCGCGAGACAATCAATGATACGCGTCCGGACGAATGCGCGACCAGCCATGCAGGTTGCATCGAACATTTGCAGCGAGTCGATCCTTCAATGCGAACTGGAATTTACGACTGCGTATTTTACGATTTTTAAAGGACCATGAAAGTCTACAAGTCCATAAAACATGGTATTCTTTCAGCTATCTATCTTTTTATTCGTTATTTAATCCCACTAGGAATTGCGCGGTTCTTCCTTATGAACACGACGAGCGGAATATTAAAATATTCTGTTTGATATTTTACCACGACGATAGGATTTTTAATTTGCCATGGTATGGGTTGGG